AATACCCTATTAATATCCCCTCTTGTTCTGTCTTGTGTTAATGCCACATCACCCCTCCCACCTCACTCAAATGTAGATATAAAATCGGAGATACGTAAGTTCTATTCAGTTGTGTATTTGTGAACTAAAGTCTTTGAAAATGTAATAAGTTTTACGAAACGCGCCCGTGTCGCGTCAGACTAGAAATAAAAATGAATTTTGGAGAATTAATTTTTGATTTACCTCCAACAGTGAAGCGTAATGTACGAAAGATTGAGAAAATTCGTGTTAGAATTATTAATCTTACATTTTCGGTCATATTTAATAATATATATATATATATATATATATATATATATATATATATATATATATATATATATATATATATATATATATATATATATATATATATATATATGTTAGATATTAAGTCACTGCACATTCTCTCATGTGTATTATACATATATAAAACGCTGAACTGTAATGCCAATCCTGACCTCAAAAGCTTCATTGAAGGTTGTAACAGAACCCATGAGCACCACACCAGAAATACAGTTTTGATATTCCAAGAGTACGACTTAATCAAACTAGAAATGCTCTACAAATCAAGGGGCCCAGAATGTGGAATGACCTTCCCAACCATGTTAAAGACTGTACCTCTCTCAACCAGTTTAAGGTAAAAACGAAGCTATACCTAATAAATTCCCTGTAACCTACCTTACCCCTCTATTGTCAACCAATGTCTTTTTTTTTTTTTAATGACGCTGTTTGTCGACCTAATTGTATTTGTGCTGCTTTTTCAGCCATGTTCCCCCCTTTATATCTCTTTTTTTTATTTGTTCTCAACTCATTATATTCTTTATGCTCAATTAGTATTAAGCTTTAGTCATTTAAGTTTTTCATGCCCGAAACGTTTTGCGTAATAGTGGCTTTAGGCATTGTATGTACTAGCCCTATCTATAAATCCATCACTCATTGAAAAATCTCTTGTATGTACCTTACCAAAATAAACATTTGATTTGATTTGATTTGATATATATATATATATATATATATATATATATATATATATATATATATATATGACAATGTCAGACCACGGAGGAAAAATGAAACAGGAAATTTCCTTAATCTTCACCTTCTGAAGATGTATTTAATATACGAAAGTACTTAAGGAAATTTCCTGTTTCATTTTTCCTCCGTGGTCTGACATTGTCACATTCTTAATCACGTGTTTATTTTCGTGATATACACACACACACATATATATATATATATATATATATATATATATATATATATATATATATATATATATATATATATATATATATATATATATATATATATATATATCCCTTATTTACTGTTCTATATTATAGTATTAATGTTAATCCGTATCATTACTGCTATTTCAGTATTATTTTATTATAAGCATAAATTATTATTACGGATTGGCGTCGCTTTCCTAGTTTCATCTCCTACTCTGTGGCACTTTGCCGTTATATCTGTTATTTACAATATTACTTTGTATTATTAATATTATTCTTATTACAGTTACTGATCACTAGTTCCCTGGCGTCGATTTAACTTTGCACCTGTTCTACAAGATGTAGCCGAAGTTCTCGGTGTACTGCGGCTCTCAGACGCTCATTGACAATCTAAGGTTACACTCAACGGCTACTTAAGGCAGATTCCTTGGTTTCTATTCAGCTATATCATGCATTTGGAGGCCAACATGAGATGGAGACCAAGGTAATGTTCCTACCCAAATCCTTAGTAATTTGTTGTATTTGTGTCGCTCTTCGGACACAAGCATGTTACAGATATGCCTTAAAAGGATTGCTTTCTTATATTCCATTTCTTGTTTATTTATGTATCGATTTGATATTATATATATCCGTTCAATGGTATATGTATTGATTATATATTGTTATGCTTTATTGTGTATTGTATTATAACTGACTATTTGTTTTGAGCTATTCTTGCTGATTTACTTCTGGCTATCTTATCTCGCCTTTGTTCCTAGCAAAGGTATTTTGTTCCCATCCTTTCGCTGAAGTTTTATTATAATTGTTAGCTCCCTTACATTGCTACAGTATAGTTATTATACAAACTCTTATTCTCCTCCCTCCCCCAGTGTTTTCTCCGTGCCAGTGTTTTCTACTTGGGGTTTCATCCAGGATTGTTTAATTAAGGACTCTTATTAAGTCCTGCATCCAGGCACCCCCTCCCTCCCTCCCTCTTACGCCTATCTCCTGCAATACCCTTATTGGCTAGGTCTCCTCCCCCTCTCGACTGAGTTTATGCCTGTCACGTTACCACTGCATGCCCGCTTCTGCCCACCCTTACTGCCTTAATACTTTCAGCCCGGGGAAGGTGATCTACGCGGCAAGAGGTCGACACACGCTCTGACTGGGCCAGGTATCGTTTACATGGTCAGGAATCGACATTATCTTCGGATCCTACAATCACAGTGCGGGACGCACGCCTACCCAAGCCTGGCGAGCGGCCCTGCCAGCAAGTACTGCCGGTCCGTGCCAAGTGATCAGGAAAGACTTCTCCAGGATGCTCCACCCTGCCCTTGCAGCATTAGGCTTGCCCCCCCCCCCCTCTCCCGCTGATTACGCCACACAGTTGTCATTGGATGGGTTTGCGCCGGCGGCGATTATGGCGGTCGGCAGGTGGAAGAGTGACGCTTTTACTTCCTACGTCAGGCAAGAAGTCGTCACTCTCCCCTGCTGAGGCTCCTACCGCAGCCAGCAGGCACTCACCCTTGGGGGGGGCCGGCCGGCTGGCCTGCGGAGTGGGGGGTGCAGCGCCAGTCTCCAAGTGTTCCGCTGTCCGCAGCTACTTACTTTGCCTTGTAGGAAGTAATTTTTGTCGCACACTTTACATCCATTCTAAGTACTAGTAAGCCCTACTTTTAGTTTGGAAATTCTTATCTCCTTATTCCTTGGCGGCGCGGCCTCATGGCCTGGGTTAATTTTCTCCTCCAATTTAATATCAGGCTTTTCCCAGTCTCTATGTAAATTTCTGCACGCCTGATTAATTTCCATATTAATTCAGCTTGGGTTTACCAATATGTCTTTCTGGTCTCTTGGCCAGGCTTCATTAAATGTTATGTTGTTTAATCCCATTATATTTACTCTAAATGTCCTGATTGTTATACATAATGTTATATAATTATGTTATACATTTGCCTTTCTTTTATTTCTAGACAATAAGCTATTCGGTTTCTGCAGTTTTTATTTATCTTGTTACTAGGCTATAAGCATACTTTTTAATTTTACTACGGGTGTACATTTTAAGTTGATTTAGTGTACATAGAGTTATCCACGTCTATGTTATGCATTTGTTAAGTCTCACTTACAGCGGCATATGCCAGGCTGGCCAACATACGAACGGCATTCAGAAACTTGTGTAAAGAATTATTCAGAACTTTGTATACCACATATGTCAGGCCAATCCTGGAGTATGCAGCCCCAGCATGGAGTCCATATCTAGTCAAGGATAAGACTAAACTGGAAAAGGTTCAAAGGTTTGCCACCAGACTAGTACCCGAGCTGAGATGTATGAGCTACGAGGAGAGACTACGGGAATTAAACCTCACTTCGCTGGAAGACAGAAGAGTTAGGGGGGACATGATCACCACATTCAAGATTCTGAAGGGAATTGATAGAGTAGATAAAGACAGGCTATTTAACACAAGGGGCACACACACAAGGGGACACAGGTGGAAACTGAGTGCCCAAATGATCAACAGAGATATTAGAAAGAACTCTTTTAGTGTCAGAGTGGTTGACAAATGGAATGCATAAGGACGTAATGTGGTGGAGGCTGACTCCATACACAGTTTCAAGTGTAGATATGATAGAGCCCAATAGGCTCAGGAATCTGTACACCTGTTGATTGACGGTTGAGAGGCGGGACTAAAGAGCCAGAGCTCAACCCCCACAAACACAACTAGGTGAGTACATACACACACAGGAAGCAGCCGATAACAGCTGTCTAACTCCCAGGTACCTATTTACTGCTAGGTAACATGGGAATCAGTGTGAAAGAAACACTGCCCATCTGTTTCCGCCGGCACCGGGATCGAACCCGGACCCTAGGATTACGTACGAGTCCTAAGCGCTGTCCACTCAGCCACAGGCCCCCTGTAGAGGCATGTGAACTGCTTGTTGACCAACTTTTATAACTACTGATTTCTGCCATTTTTTTTCCCTGTTTATTTTTCCTTTTTCAACTCAATTTATGCTCTGATCTCAATTAGTATTAAGATTTAGTCTAAGTGTTTTTCTCCCACCTTGCCCAAAACAGTGTGCGTATTAGTGGCTTTAGGCACAGTATGCAACCCGTCCTCTTAAAAATAACGTCACTTTTCGCTCGTATGCGCACTGTGGCCAAATTTGGACGTAATTTGAAATGAAATTGACTCACAAAAGTGACGTACTGTCCCGTTTTCTGTTTGAGTCGTCCGGCTTACTCGGTAAGGTTAGAAGAGGAAACTTTCAATTTTGTTTTGCATAACGTTTTGAAACTTTATGAGAATTTCCTGCCCACCTAAGCTATCAGAGGACCCTTATCTTACTGTTGTTGAAAAAAATACCAAACTTAATTTCATTTTTTTTCATTTTCAAATTACGTCCACTTTCGGCCATATTGGTAAACGGCCAAAAGCGACGTTATTTTTAAGAGGACAGGTTCTACAGGCCTGGACAGGGATAGAGGACAGGTTCTACAGGCCTGGACAGGGATAGAGGACAGGTATGTACCAGCTCTAGCTAGAAATCCAACATTATGATTGTAACTCATCTTGTATGTATTTACTTTTACCTGAATAAACATTTGATTAGATTTGAATAGTAGTAGTAGTAATTATACTTATTTTATGATTAAGTTGACAGTTATCGTGCCGGGTTGTTATCGTACTATGCAAGATGCCCCACAATCAGTGGTTATCTTGGGTGTGTGTTGGACCATAAGGTTATCTCTGGCAGGCAGTGTTAGGTGGGGTCAGTGGCGTCACAGACACACCTCCTTCATCACCCTCCACGCTCCCCTCCACCACCACCACCTCCGTCTGTGGTCGACGCCGACACGGCTACCAGGACGCTGCCTCTCTCTAGTACACAGTAATCTTGTGGTGACACTCTACACTACCACGAGTACTGGTCAAGGCTCTAGTACACAGCAGCCTTGTGGTGACTCTACACTACCACGAGTACTGGTCAAGGCTCTAGTACACAGCAGCCTTGTGGTGACGCTCTACACTACCACGAGTACTGGTCAAGGCTCTAGTACACAGCAGCCTTGTGGTGACGCTCTACACTACCACGAGTACTGGTCAAGGCTCTAGTACACAGCAGCCTTGTGGTGACGCTCTACACTACCACGAGTACTGGTCAAGGCTCTAGTACACAGCAGCATTGTGGTAACACTCTACACTACCACGAGTACTGGTCAAGGCTCTAGTACACAGCAGCCTTGTGGTGACGCTCTACACTACCACGAGTACTGGTCAAGGCTCTAGTACACAGCAGCCTTGTGGTGACACTCTACACTACCACGAGTACTGGTCAAGGCTCTAGTACACAGCAGCCTTGTGGTGACGCTCTACACTACCACGAGTACTGGTCAAGGCTCTAGTACACAGCAGCCTTGTGGTGACGCTCTACACTACCACGAGTACTGGTCAAGGCTCTAGTACACAGCAGCCTTGTGGTGACGCTCTACACTACCACGAGTACTGGTCAAGGCTCTAGTACACAGCAGCATTGTGGTAACACTACACTACCACGAGTACTGGTCAAGGCTCTAGTACACAGCAGCCTTGTGGTGACTCTACACTACCACGAGTACTGGTCAAGGAAGCATCAGAATCCGGTATGTCATTTTATAACATTTCTTTACCCATGAGAAAACCCACCAGGGCTGTAAGGTGGCTCGAACCTACGACCCCGGCAATGCCGGTCGCGTACTCTACCATCGAACCATCGCTGACTCGTGAAAGTCGTGCCACTGGATTTCTATTGAAGTCACAGGAAGTCTGGAGGCCCCTAGTCTGTGAAGTCTGTAATTTCAGTAGAAATCTGTTTGAATGACTCAAGGACTCAAAGTAATACACAAGTCCTGGTGGTCCAGTGGTAGAGTATGCGACCAGCAACTCTGAGGTCATAAGTCCGCGCACCTATGGTTTGTGTTGAAAACAACCCGTCCTCAGACCAAGTCCATTCCATCCAGCGGTCGACCCCAAAGACGCATTCATAAATTTGAATGTGATGCTCATTCAAAACAGAAATTTTCTCTAATATAAATTAATACTATAATATATTCGCATATTATGCATATATAGGCATTGGTTAGGTTAGGTTAGGTGTTAAAGTTCTGTTGGCGATTATTTGTATTTATGGTACGTGGGTGAAGCATTTACAACGTTGTGGTTCGAACAAAATTCGTCAGTGAAGCATTTGTTCCGGAAGTGTTCGAACGAAATCGGTTGTGAGTAAACGTTTTTTCCTTCATAAACAAGGGGTTTGGCGGGTGGATGGATTGGACTTTGGCCTTTCTTTATGAGGACAAGCTGGTTGAATACTATCGTGTGTACGCATTTACAAAGTTTTGAATTCTTGGATTTTTTGCCGAACTGCGATCAAAATTTGCGTGTTTCTACTCGCGCAAAAGACAGGTCTATATGGTAGTCACAATGGCATCTGTAGCTTGGTAGTTTGTTCTCGGAGGGACTTGCGCACAGTGAAGCTAAAATGTTCAAACTTGTAAAATGTTCAGAGACCACCCGCGTGTGTGTATTCACCTAGTTGTATTCACCAAGTTGGCCTTGAGGGGGTTGAGCTCTGCTCTTTCGGCCCGCCTCTCAACTGTCAATCAATCAACTGTTACTAACTACTATCTTGAGGTTATCTTGAGATGATTTCAGGGCTTAGCGTCCCCGAGGCCCGGTCCTCGACCAGGACACCTTTTTGTTACACATCCCCAGGAAGCAGCCCGTAGCAGCCGACTAACTCCCAGGTACCTATTTACTGTTAGGTAACAGGGGCATCAGGGTGAAAGAAACTCTGCCCATTGTTTCTCACCGGCGCCCGGAATCGAATGTGTGTGTGTATGTGTCGTTTCTCGTTCGGGGCCGGGAATGTTTGTGTTGGAAAGTGTGCATGTGTGGTCTTGGGTCGAGTACCCCGCTTCTCACTACAAGTGCAGACCTCTCGTAAATGTTGTCTAACACTGAAGATGAAACTGTGGACATGAATCCCATATTAATGGTGAGTACTCCACTATAGGTCTGATTAGGGAGTTGCAGAGTAATGGACATCACTTAGTTCTGTATGTCTTCGACTTTTGGGTTTCTAATACACGCAGCATTTCGGGCAAGGTGGGGAAAATTACCTAGATTAAAGCTTAATACTAATTGAGATTAAAGTATAAATTGTGTTAAAATGGATAAAAAATGGGGGAGGGGTTATACAACTTGGTCAACAAACAGTATTGTTTGAAAATAGCAAGACATAGGTTGACATTAAGGAGGTAAGGTAGATGCAACCCGTTCTCGCAAATTTAATAAGTCAATATTGACTTATTAGTTGTGTGCATAGGTGACATACTAAACATAATAGTTTCCCTTGAAAAGCTTCATAGAAAACACCGACCTTACCTAACCTACTTAGTATGTTAAAATAAGCATCTTATAGCTTCGTAATTACAATTGTTACTTAACCTATTATAGGTATAGGTTAGGTAATAATTGTAATTACGAAGCAATAAGATGCTTATCTTAACATACTAAGTAGGTTAGGTAAGGTCGGTGTTTTCTATGAAGCTTTTCAAGGGAAACTATTATGTTAAGTATGTCACCTATGCACATATTTAATAAGTCAATATTGACTTATTAAATTTGCGAGAACGGGTTGGGTAGATTACATGGAGTTTAATAGGTAGTATATAGTTTTTCTCTTAAACTGGTTGAAAGAGATACAGCCATTGACATGATTGGGAAGGTCATTCCACATTCTGGGTCCCTTGATTTGTAGAGCATTTCTAGTTTGATTAAGTCGTACTCTTGGAATATCAAATAGGTATTTGTTTCAGGTGTGGTGTTCATGGGTTCTGTTACAACCTTCTAGGAAGCTTTTAAGGTCAGGATTGACATTACAGTTCAGAGTTTTATATATGCAGAGTACACATGAGAGGATGTGCAGTGACTTAATGTCTAACATATTCAGGGATTTAAGTAAGGGGTACCGAGTGCTGTCTGGGGCCAGAGTTAGATATTGTTCTATTAGCAGTTTTGTGTCGAGTAATTAGAGGACGTAAAGGATTTTGGATAGTAGAACCCCAAGCACAAATACCATAGTTGAGATATGGATAGATGAGAGAGTAATAGAGCGTCACCAGGGCAGGGCGGGGTACATAATATCTGATCTTAGAAAGAATGTCAACAGTTTTTGAAACTTTTTTTGATATATTTAGAATGTGTCCCTGGAAATTCAGCTTGTGATCGATGAGGACACCAAGGAATTTACCATCAACTTTACTACTGATTTGTATATTGTTTATTCTTAGATTAATTTGATTAGAGGATTTATTACCAAACAAAATATAGAAAGTTTTGTCAATGTTAAGGGTGAGTTTGTTGGCAGTTAGCCACAGATGGACTTTATTTAGCTCAGTATTTACTGTGGCATTTAGAGCAAGGGGGTCAGGACTGGAGTAAATGAAGGTTGTGTCGTCAGCAAATAGAATTGGTTTGAGGTGTTGGGAGGCATTTGGAAGGTCATTAATGTAGATGAGAAAGAGGAGAGGGCCAAGTATGCTGCCCTGAGGAACACCAATGTTGATGGGCAGGGTGGGAGAAATGGAATTATTCACAGAAACATATTGGAGCCTGTCAGTAAGGTAAGACTGAAGGTATTGCAGGGAGTGCCCTCTGACTCCATAATGATGTAATTTAAGAAGAAGGTTTTGGTGGTTGACAGTGTCAAAAGCCTTACGTAGATCAACAAAAAACCCAACAGGGAACTCATTTTTATCAAGAGCTGCGTGTATCAAGTTAATCATACTAATCATGACGCAGTATCTCCAGTAAACTCAGAGGGGTGTGGGAATCCCCTCTCCAACAGGCCAGCTTCCCCAGGGAGGAATATAACAGAAACCTCCCACCATTCCACCCCACGATCATTCCCCCGCCCCCCATCCACAAGAGACTCTACCTGCTCCCCAACCCCAGAACCCCTGTGTTTCCATCCATGCCCTCCATCATCCCCACCAACTTCCCCACCCCCAGCCCCCCCTGTTCCCACACCCCATGCCCTACCTGTTCCCACACCCCATGCCCTCCCTGTTCCCACACCCCATGCCCTCCCCAGTACCCTCTCCCCAAGCTCTCCTTCCTCACACACCCCCCCCCCCCATTCAAAGCCCTAATTGACCCCTCAACCCCAGACCCTCTAAGACGAGAGGTTGTTGGAGTACAGATTGTTGGAGGACAGCTTGTAAGTGGAGAGGTTGTAGGAGGACAGGCTGTAGGAGGCCAGGTTGTAGGAGGACAGGTTGTAGGAGGACAGGATGTTGGAGTACAGGTTGTAGGAGGACAGGTTGTAGGAGGACAGGTTGTTGGAGTACAGGTTGTAGGAGGACAGGTTGTAGGAGGACAGGTTGTAGGAGGACAGGTTGTTGGAGTACAGGTTGTAGGAGGACAGGTTGTAGGAGGACAGGTTGTTGGAGTACAGGTTGTAGGAGGACAGGTTGTAGGAGGACAGATTGCAGGAGGACAGGTTGTAGGAGGACAGGTTGTAGGAGGAAAGGTTGTAGGAGGACAGGTTGTAGGAGGACAGGTTGTAAGAGGAAAGGTTGTAGGAGGACATCTTATAGGACAGGTTATAGGAGGACAGGTTGTAGGAGGACAGGTTGTAGGAGGAAAGGTTGTAGGAGGACAGGTTGTAGGAGGACAGGTTGTAGGAGGAAGGTTGTAGGAGGACAGCTTTTAGGAGGACAGCTTGTAAGAGGACAGCTTGTAGGAGGACAGGTTGTAGGAGGAAAGCTTGTAGGAAGACAGGTTGAAGGAGGACAGGTTGTAGTAGGACAGGTTGTAGGAGGAAGGTTGTAGGAAGACAGGTTGTAGGAGGACAGGTTGTAAGAGGACAGCTTGTAGGAGGAAGGATGTAGGAGGACAGCTTGTAGGAGGACAGGTTGTAGGAGGACAGGTTGTAGGAGGAAAGGTTGTAGGAAGACAGCTTGTAAGAGGACAGCTTGTAGGAGGACAGGTTGTAGGAGGAAAGGTTGTAGGAAGACAGGTTGTAGGAGGACAGGTTGTAGGAGGACAGGTTGTAGGAGGAAGGTTGTAGGAGGACAGCTTGTAGGAGGACAGCTTGTAAGAGGACAGCTTGTAGGAGGAAGGATGTAGGAGGACAGCTTGTAGGAGGACAGGTTGTAGGAGGACAGGTTGTAGGAGGACAGGTTGTAGGAGGAAAGGTTGTAGGAGGACAGGTTGTAGGAGAACAGGTTGTAAGAGAACAGGTTGTAGGAGGAAGGTTGTAAGAGGACAGGTATAGGAGGACAGGTTGTAAGAGAACAGGTTGAAGGAGGACAGGTTGTAAGAGGACAGGTTGAAGGAGGACAGGTTGTAAGACGACAGGTTGTAGGAGGACAGGTTGAAAGAGGACAGGATGTAGGAGGACAGGTTGTAAGAGGACAGGTTGAAGGAGGACAGGTTGTAGGAGGACAGGTTGTAGGAGGACAGGTTGTAGGAGGACAGGTTGTAGGAGGACAGGTTGTAGGAGGACAGCTTGTAGGAGGACAGCTTGTAGGAGGACAGGTTGTAGGAGGACAGGTTGTAGGAGGAAAGGTTGTAAGAGGACAGGTTGAAGGAGGAA